TCCATGCTCTTCATTGTTAACAACAGACAGGAGAAAGTGTTACTGTATTATACCTCGTTGAAAAAATCCTAAAAAACCAGCAATTTAAACTGCTTATGAACAATCCTTAAACAATATTTTTTGCATGTAATGTATTGACCAGCCCTATTTTCATAGGAAATAGAATAGCTTTTTTGCCTTTAGTTTCTTCCCAACAACACAGAACAACTTGATAATTTGAAAAGTTTTCGCATTGTACTAAATAAAAAAGTGCATCAAAAGTTGGATGCCTCATCATGCTTAAAAAGGTATGGTAGGTTTACACGATTTCCGCGTCTCTGTTGCTGAAGCTAGCTTAATTTTATTATCCTCACAAATAAGTTGTAGTATAAAAGAATTAAGCATTTTCTCAAGTGATAATTCATTTAAGACAGGGAAAAAATTTATTACAGGCTAATATCATGCAAACAAATATCATGAACGATTAGGTACAGAACTATACAATTGAGAACGCCTGGTATGATTACATCGACCTTGTTCCCATGAGACGCTCATATTCCCTCTTCTTAGACATCTAAAAAAAATTGAATAAGTAACTCAACGGGGGAATGGGCGCTATCGATACCTGATACATGAGCATAGCAATAATAGCAACTGTAAGGAGTATAGAAAGGGCTAAGAGTATCCAAGTAGCTGTCTGCCATGACGATGCACCCGTCATACTGTAATGATTGATAACTTTACAAGCAACTTTAATACATCTGACCGCAAAGAGGCAGAATCTTTAAAGGCCGAGTTTGTCATTTTCCCTTTATTTCAAGACCAATTTCAACACTGAAACATTTAGAATTCTGGACGACTATCTGCTTCGTACTTAGGCAACAGCGAATCTCTTTTCTGCATAACTACGCCGTTTTTCCTGTCTTCCATAATTTTTTGGAGGCGTTCCTAGAAAGTGAAAAAGTGTAAAACGCTTTACGCTAAACAGAAGAAAAACCTGCTTACTTTCAGCTCATATCGAACCCTATTGATTTCATCACGAATTTTAGCAATTTCCGCTTCCTTATTATATCGCTCCGTACCAGATAGTTGAGACATCTGATTCTGAGCTTCCATTAGAGCTTGATCGAGATCACCTAGCTCCTAAAATGGGTTCCCTGAAACTACAGATAAAGAATGTAATCTTTTGCTGCAACCTGTTCGCTCTTCATGTTCGCTTTGGTCTCAAGGTAAGGACGAAGTTCCTCAGCAAGCTGAAAACGCGGTATTGTTCTTCAGCATCCTAATCATCATTATTGTACTAGTGGAGAAGCAGACATTCTGTTGTTTTTTATTGTAGTTTCTCAACAGGGTAGTACAAGTCACAATCTGTAGCTAAACAGCGCATG